AACATCATATAATCCAATCTGACGTGATAAAAATTCTATCAAATATATAAATAAATCTTGTCTGCATATCAATTTATCAATATCTCAATGTCGATTTTTTTTCTTTTCTCAAAAATTAAAACTAATTGTAAGTGAAACATAATATTAAATATTACAAATTTTAATACTTTTTTTCGTATTAAAAAATATAATATAAATTTATATTTTATATGTAAAGTTATACTTATTGTTAGTAATATCTTCTCTTCCCGTGTATTTATAATTGTTAAATGTCATAATTGCTAAATTAATAAAAAAAAAGCATAATTACTTATATTCGTTTCTTATTAATTTATGTTATACATATATAAGAAATATTGTAACATAATGACAGCTACGTTTAATAAAACAATTGAAGTAAATTAATAACCCCATTTCAATAATCCGTAGTATAAAAAACTCACACAGAGTCATTTCTCTCGCCGATCAAAAAAAATCCATTATTTTAATGAGTGCTGATAACAAACATCTTGCGAAACTCCATTATCTTTGCAAGTTGATATTTTTAATCGCGATATGTAAACTAACAAGTGAATTTGTACTAACTTGATGCTAGCGAGTGTGAATAGTCATTTTGTGATACTGATAAAAATGGTGGACACACTTCAACAGACCTTGCGTCCTCTTTTTGTTACGTGCTTCATTATGGGTTTAGGTTTTTATCCTAGAAAACGATTAAAGATTCAATGGATTTCACATTTAAATATTCTATATTCTTTGATAATCTGGATCGCTTATACGTCTCTTCTTTGTTATATGCTCGTCCATTTTACACGGAAAATATTCTTTGACTCGACTGCTATAGAAATCATGGAAGAGTCTAACTTTTTGCTTTCAATTACGTCTGCGATTATGAGTTTCTATTATCAAAAGGTATTTCTCTAGCAACGTATGTAAAATTTAAATTCTTTATAACAGAGAATGTTTTTTTAAATCTTTTAAATATCTCTTTCTGTAGTCACATCTTATAAAAACATAATTCTTTCAAATATACGTTTTAAATTATTGCTTAATGTTATTTCAGAGATTTGAGGTAAGCATAAAAAAGCTTGCTGCTGTGGATGATACTTTGGAGAAATTAGGTACTCCAAAAATGTATGAAAAGCTACATATGAGGTCAAAACAAATAATAATCTGTTGGATTGTGTACAGCCTTGCAATAAATTTTATCGATACGATGTGGTGGTTGAGCTTGGAAGAAACTGCTTCTTGGGGATTATATGTGTCTCACATAGTGAATCATTGTATTCATATCAATGCATTTGTGGATATGTTATTTATATTCTTCTTGTGGTACGTACGATACAGCATAATGTCCATATATACATTACACACATATACACATACGTCGTCACATACATGTGAATATACATATTGTGTTCTTGTGTTTTTATAAATCTAATTGCAATCGCAATTTTCTTATTATTGATAGAATATTTTTATTATTAAAATTTAAATAGATCATTTTAAAATTCTATTAAAAACAGAATTATCATAGTACTTAGTAATCATAATGTTCCTGCAAATAAATTATGCATATAAAAAGATATAATCTATATTTGTTAATAAATCTATGTTCATATATTAATCAGAAATTCTATCATATATTTTTGTGCGATTATTTATACAGGTACATTGGAACTAGATTTGACAAAGTGAATGAGCATATGCAATGTTTATTAGTAAAAAAAGATCACGCACTGAAATGTACGTGGAAGAGATCTGTAATTGCCTTTCGTCGGTATACTTTATATACTGATTGCAAGCTAACATTATGGACTTCAATGTAAATCAATACTCGCATAAAACTGCATTAATCAATTTGATACTCATCAATTTAATAATAAAATTTAATTAACAAACATAAATTTTTATAAAAAATTATAAAAAAACATATTATAAAAAATATTTAATCTTTAAACAATTTTAATTGTGGTTTATAAATAATTTCTCTACGTTTTTAAAAAAATGTATGTTTTTCAGCAGGCATCTTCATTTAGAATTATGTCGTCTCGCTCGCGAATTAAATATGATATTTGCAATACAAATGACTTTTGAAATGGCCTCTTATCTTCCATATCTAACATCATTATTTTATTACATATATTGGATGCTAATACAGGAAAATCGAGACAAAATATATTCAATGTATGACTGGTTTAGTATGATTTTATGGGTTTTTGCATTTTCTGTGAGACTCTACATTGTAAATTACACCTGCGACAATATCACGATCAAGGTAAAATCTGCTATAAAATCTAGATTCATTTTAATATTCAGTTACATATTCCATAATAATAAGTTCCAAATTTCAGGCTAACAAAATTAATAAATTATTTCATCAATTGACATATATTTATCGATATGCTGACATTTGGAAAGAGGTAAAAGATATTTTAGCAAGAAACAGTAAGAAATTATTTAAAACTAAATAACATTTCTATACAGATTTATCAGTTCACTCTGCAAACAATGCAACATCCATTGAAGTTTACGGGAATGGGTCTCTTCTATTTTGGTCATGAGTTTCTTCGGAAGGTTAAAATTTTTTTTACTTTACTTACTCTTTTATAAAATTTTTATTTAGTATTGTATTTATTTAATATCGTATAAAATATATAAAAATTTATTAAAGAATTGTTTTTCAAAATCATCTTTAATATCGAAATTGTAACATGTTTTTCATTACATGTTATGCAGTTTCCGAACTGCAGTTTCCAAACTTAATCTACACTTAAATTAGATGCAGATTGCATTATATTGCAATTTTTGTATTTAATAAAGAATATATAATTTTCTTCCAGTTTTGCATGGCAGTTCTAACGTACATGATTATTATGGTGCAATTGAAACTATTTATTATTTATTAGCCATTCGTGCTAATGGAAACAGCAAGACTAGCATCTCCAGCTTAACGTGACAAGAATACATCAAGGTTATTCTTCGTAATTATATTTATATTAGTCATATATTAGTTCATTATTAATATTACTATTAATATATTAGTTCATATATTAATATTAAATTATATTACAAAATTACAATTCATCAAAAATGCAAATTATTTTAACCCATGTAATAATCTATAAACGAAATTTCACAAACACCTAATATCTACTATCTTTTACATCCTATTCATCATCATGTGTCTACATATAGATATATCTATCATTTATTCTGTTAATTTTTATTTTATCATCTGATTTATATTATCTAATTACACATATTTTAAATACATTTGAAATAAAAAATTTATAAAATCTGATTTTGATTAATTGATCATGTAAATACACACATGGAATCCAGTTTTTATGAGGAGAATAAATTCAATTATTAATTATATAAAGATATATTCTTTTAAAAAATCCACTTATCAAAAACTGTCACTGATTAATCTTCATCTGTTGTTTAATTTTAATTTAGTAAAATGTTTAAATTGACGGTCCGAAAGGTAAACCGTTCGTCAATTATTAATAGCGCCTGGTGACATCGAACGACTCATTGTGTATGTTTATGAAAGAATTAAATAATGCATAACACTAATGCATTGACCTAACGACGCATTATTATTATGTCTTCTTAATAAATGAGCTATAGTTGATATAACGCGTGTCCCAATAGCAAGCAAGTGTTGTTAGTTTGCGACAGAGATCCAGATAGTGATGGCTATGATAACCAACGTACAACAGGCTCTATATCCCTTACTTATGATTTGTTCTGTTTTCGGTATAGGTATCTACTCTCCGGAAAAATTTTATTTAAATATTCTGTACAATCTAACAGTATGGACCAGTTACGCTTGCCTTTGTTATTATATGGTGACAGCACTTAAGGCAGGAATATGGTTCAATTCAACCTCTAATGTAGTCTTTGTACGGATTGGCATTCTCACTACCATTATTTCCATTATCATAAGTGTGTATCGAGATAAGGTATGTATTTATTAAAATTTATAGCAAAAACAAAATTTTATAGTAATACATTTGTCTTTACGTAGCATTTTTATACAGTATATTTAAAAAAAATAAGTACATTTCGCACAATACTGTTATTTAATACTTTGGATTGTTGCCTACTGTTCAGAAATTTAGGTTATTTATGAAGAGACTTGCTGCTGTAGACGATACGTTAGAAGAGCTAGGTACTCCAAAGATATATAAAAAACTGCACACGTGTGCAAAAAGAGTGTTAATTGGATGGCTAGTGTGTAGCTACACGATGAATGTAAATGATATGATATGGTGGTTCTATACAATGGAAGATCGTCGGTGTATGCTTATACCATACGTCACAAATCATTTTCATCACGTCAATATGTTAATGGATTTGTTACTTATGACTTTTTTATGGTGTGTATATAATTTATGTGTAAATTTTATCTTTCTAATTTTTTAAGTTTATATATAATAAGAAAGAGAGAGAGAGAAAGTATTCCATTTTTTTACAAAATGATGGTATACTATATTCTAAAAACAAAATATTTTTTAGAAATATAAGTTTAAAGATCTTTTGCTGAAAAATAATTTAAAGAAGAATATATTATAACATTATATGTTCTTTACATATTTATTTACAAATTACTTTCCTATAAATCATTCCTATAGCTTTAAATAAAACAAAATAAAATAGATTTTTATTAAAAGACTTAATAACTATTATTAATTTTAATAGCCTAAAACTATCGTATATCCTAAAACTGTACAATTATTTTTTTCAATTTTGCTTTATGGTACAGGTACATTAGCAGTAGATTTGATAAAGTGAATGAACAGATGAGATATTTGGCAATGAACGAGGAATATGGGTTAAAACATTTATGGAGAAAAACGGTACCAATTACTCGTCAAAATATCATGTGCACTAATTACAAGCGCGTTTTGTGGGTCTCAATGTATGTACATCGATCACAGCTAAAATACATTATTGATAAAATGTTATTTAATAATTAAATAGCTTTTAAGAAATTAGGCAGAAATTTAATTAATAAAAAAAAATAATTTTTTCTCTCGGTCTACTTGCGTGTTTTTATTTTCCTATTAATTTTTTTCCATAGGCATCTGCACTTAGAGTTATGTCAAATCACTCGTGAATTAAATACAATATTTGGAGCTCAAATGACTATAGAAATGGTAGCCTATTTGGTATATGTAACAAGAATGAGTGGTTACATTTTCATGCATATACGAACAAAAGGTCGATATGTACCTTCGTTATTTGTTTGGATTGGTATGTCTTTTTTTATTTTCGTGAATTTAGCCAGACTCTTCAGCTTAAATTACATATGTGAGAAAATTACTGTTAAGGTAAATATGCATAGAAACTTCTATACATATACACGTACATTGTATGTACATTTATTAATTACATATTATTATTTATTTGTCAATAGTGTTATATAATATAAATTGTATAACAATAAGATAACAATATAACAATATAATTTTATCAATTTTAGGCTAATAAAATGGAAAAAATAATCCATCAATTGACAGATTCTATTTTCTATGCTGATATTAATAATGAGGTAAAAAAATTTTAAAATAATAACAATTAAACAATTTAAGCTAATTATTTCAATAAATAAAAATAAAAAATTTTGATATATGTACAGATTTATCAATTTTCACTGCAAATAATACATCATCCGCTTAAATTCACTGGATTGGGTCTCTTCTATTTTGGCAATGGTCTCTTACGAAAAGTAAGTTGGCAATTTAATTTTTCACTTATTTTTTGCATCATATTATAAAGTTAAAAGAAAACTCTACCATTTTTAAAATAATATCTTACATAATATCTTTACAGTTAGAATTTAGAATAGAAATTTGTAAATATCATTATATAGAAAATCGGTACGCGCGCGCGCGCACACGCACACTGCATGCAAAAATTTCCGGATACGTGAATATTCCAACTTTAATTTAATGCCTCAATGTAATATATGCATTACATATATTACATTACATATATTACATATATTACATACATATATCATCAAATGCTCAATAAATTTTAGCATCTTTTTCTTACATTTGTTAAAATCTTAGCTACTTAAGGATTGTTTTATGCAACAATCTTGTAAACTTTACAAACACGACTTTAAATCGTGAAACACAGGCTGATGTTAACACTTTTTATAAATAAGAGTTCTCTATTCAAATAACGAGGAAAATGCCAAAATTTTAGATCCAGAATATCAAGTATTTCACTTAATGCAGATATTAAATTACTAATTTTGATAATGTCCGGAAATTTTTGACTGGCAGTGTGCATATATAATCTTACTTATCTTATTAAACACTTTTATTAACATGAAAATTTAATTTATACGTTTATTTCCAGTTTATTGTTGCAATTACAACGTTTATGATCTTCATAATACAGAAAGACGTACCAAAAAAGGCAACAGATTTTTAAGAAAAAATAAACAAATTAGCATTTTTATAATAAGCACAATTATTGTTTGTAAAACGAAATATTTTTTAAATGTATGAAAGGCCTAATTTACATAAAATAAATTATTTGTCTTATTTTTCATTGTCATTCCATTTTTTCTTGTCCTTCTATACATATAATTAAAATAAATTTTAAACAAAGTTATATTGATTATATTGGTATGATTATGCTGTCATACAGACAACATAATATAAACAACGATGTTGTGTGTGTGTATAAAATATATTTTTTTAGATAAAATTGATTTTAATCTATGCCCGAGTTGTACAATTTTGTTTCGTCTAAAAACTTTCCTTATGACAAGAATGTGACAAAAAATAATATAAACAGTTAAATTACTGCTGTATAATTCCTTGTATATTTTTCAACTTTATGTGCTCTGTATTATTTATTTCTTACATTAACAAAAAATTAATTTTGATTTACAAAAATTAAAAATTTTATATGAAAACTTAAAATCGAGATAGTTTAAATAAGATTAGATAATGTCAAATGTTAATATTAATATTTATTTTTCGACTTGTATTATTCAAATAAGCGTTCGGCATACTTGATGTGCGGTTTATGTCGGTGCCAAGAATTTTGCTCATGTCAAATTCTGCTTATAATATATATTTTACTAGTTTGCTGCTAAAAATAATTATTCCTTATTTAATCCCTGTCCCCCCCCCCCCACCCC